TATTTTTGGCATAAGAAACTGATCATAAAAACTTGCACTATACTCAAATATATATGGTAAGTCTTATATATGGGAATAGTCTACATCTGATCCCAGAAAATAAGTTAAAATGAACAGCAAAAGATTCTGAAATGAAATAAAAAAAAAAAAAGAAAAAAAGAAGGATCTTCTATGTACTATGTCCTTTCAGGATCTCCACTACCTCCTATCTGTTGTAGCTCTTAGCAACGTTTGTCTCTTTACCAAACCTGCCACCTCAGTTCTGCTTTCCTCCCAATCCTGCTGTCCTCTATATTCCCTGTTATTGTTAACTTCTCCAAGCCTTCTTTTCTCATTATATCTAAGAAGTGTCCTTTTTGTTTTCTTACAAAAGAATAATAGATTTTTTTTTTTTGATTAATTTTGTGTGAAAATTAAATTAAAAAAAAAAAAAAATATAGGATTAAGAATTTTTAATATGATTTAACATTTTATTTGCAACACCATACCTGATATATGTATGACTGATAATAAATTCCTGCATTTGCTTTTTGCCTTGATTAAATCATTCTGTATTTTAGTACAATACCTTTATCTTCATTTTCTACAAGATCTTAATCTTTTAATAGCCAACTTCTTAAAATTTCTCATTTTTTTTGTTGTTTTTAGATTTGCTTTTATTTTCTCATTACACAATCTGTTTTGGACTGAGTATGTTGTGGTTTCATATCATAACATTTTACTGTACAAGATGCATTTTTCTGGTTTTAATTAAGTGCCTTCAATTCTGTAGACTTAGCTACCATCCCATTTCCTTTTTTGCAAACTCTTATTGCAAATTTGTTTTTATTTTCATTGTTCATTTCTTTCTACAAATTTGCTCAGCATATGAATTTGATCTTTCATATCAAAAGAATTGAAAATTCTGGTTGATCTGTGAAAGAACTAAATTAAATCTCCAAGTACTTGATACATATTAAAACTGTATAATATTAAAGCTATAATATGTGCATTATGTATATTCATTATTTTATATTGAATTTGGAATATTTATGAAGGGGATATTAAAACAACAAAAGAATCTTTTGAAACAGCCGCTTTGTTTTGTAAGTGAAATGGCTGGTGATGTTAGCATGTCTGTTTCTAACTGGATTTTGACTAAAATTATAGGTGATAATATCTAATTATAAGTGGGGGTAGCAATGGAAGAAAGTATTAAATTAAATAAAACTATAATTGTCACCATCAAGTTTATTAGAATACTAGTTTTCCCATACCATAAAAAAAGGTGGTAATAATAATTTTGTATTTGCATTGGTTATATTTTCTACATGAGTAATATAGGATTTTTATCAGTACAATTAAATTGATTGATTGTAACATGTAAGAAAGAATTATGGAAAGTAAAAATATCCAAACAAAATGACATAAAAAGTAATATATTAGCAGCCCCTACTTAATGATATATTATTCTGTTGTCATAATAACATGACTTGTTCAAATATTGTTGTTGAGTAGTACCACCTGCTACCATAACAATGGGATATCACATTCTTAAGGATGGGTGATCAAGTTGGATGAGCAATAAAGAGATGAAGTCACATTGTGTCCATTCCGGATTTGGGTGATCATGGCTCTCCATGACTGTCTTTTGTAACTTGTGAAGTTTGTCTTTTCACTATCACTTCCATACCATTGAAATGGATATTTTATATGCATTATTTAATTACTATAAATTTTATTTACTATAAATATTATTTTCTCTCTGAATTTTTCCCTACCCACAAGTTGAAATCAACAGCTTCTACTTCTCCTAACAAATCAGGCTATATTACTTTTCTGGTCGCCAAATTATTAGGTTGAGTAATTTCCATTTTTGGGAACAAATTGCTTTATTTTGAAGAATAAACTTGATAAATAAAAATGGAATTTATTTCTGACTCAATATCATCTCTCTTATGTTCCTGAAGTGTATACTTTATCTTCAAATGCTATTTGCATCTTAACTGTCATGCTACAACCTTACATATTTATAAGTCTACCATTAGTCCTTGATTTGAATACTGCTGCCAGATCTGGTCTGGCATTCCTGCTATATATTTAGACATTATTAATAAAATCCAAAGAAGTATTGCTATTGGTCCTGACTTGGTGTCTTGGTTTCAGTCATTTTCCCACTGCTGGAACATAGCTTCCCTATGCCTTTTCTGTAAATAATTTCATGGTAATTGTTCTGATGAACTTTCCTCTATGATACTTAGACTTTATGAATTTAAGCACAATACTAAATTAGTGGCAAGGTCTCATCATTTTACAATTGAAATGGCTAGATGTAACTGTAAGTTCTACGCTAAGAGTTTCTTCTATTGATTTTTAATTGGTGGAATGTTCTTCTGACTTTTTGCTTCCCAATCAACTTTGAGCTTCAAAAATTTAAATGCAATGTCAATCGTCATCTTCTTAATTCTTGTCCTTTTTATTGTTCTCTATCCTTCATAGTATGTTTTTCTCATGTTCTCTAATACTCAGAAAGCCCTTGCATCTTAGTGGCTTTATTGCCTTGCTTGGAAATGATTAAAAAATCCCCAAGAAACTGCTTCATTAAGAGCAGAGATTGTTGCATTGGATATAATTTATGTAATGTAAATATAACAATGTGACTCAGTGTCAATAATTGAAACTCTCTTATCAAATACTTAATGGTATTCTTCCTACTTTGTAGAAAGCAGTTGATTTTGTGGAAAGCCTTTATTTCTGCCTTTCTTCTTTGTTTGCTTGAAGTAATATTTTTTTCTCAACAATTTAAAGTAAAGCATAGGGAACAGTCAAGGCATTTACAGGCTTTATTTGGCTTTAAGTGCAAGTTAAGGAGATTTAAGCAGAATTAATATCCTTACTAGATTTGAATTTTTAAGTTTTTTTTTGTTTTTTTTAAATTTTAAGTCCTGTTTATATTTAATGGGAATGCAGTGGTTTTTTTAATTCTCTTTTTTTGCACTCATTTGTTTTCTGAAATGTATTTTTACTTTTATTTTTTTTATGCATTAGTTGGAGAGGTTCATCATTATTTCTTTCTTTTTTTTTTTTTTTTTCCACAATTTTTTTTTTTACAACTGGGGAGGGGGCGTTTTTTATGGGCGTGGAGCTGTGCATGTTTTTTTTTTTAACTCCTGTTCCCCCCCCCCCCAAACTTTTCTTCTCTTTTCTTCAGATTTTTTCCTCTCTTTTTCTCCTTCAGTTACAGAAGACTTTCTGAAATGAGAAGATGTTTATTTTCCTATATTTTCACTTTCTTTTGGTCTGGTTGTTATTATTTTTATGAGGACTTTATCTTCCATTTATGTGTATTTTTCAAATTTTATATTCTGCCATAAGATATTAACAAAATGTATAAAAATAACTATAAATGTAGCTGTTGAAAAAGAACAAAAACAAAACAGCTCCTTTTGATAATCTCTGTGTTCCCATTTTATTATATTTGTTTTCCATTATTTATTAGTGAGATGACAGTAAGCTTTCAGTACACCAAGCCACAAGCAGAATCCATTTACTTTATGTGAATTATTGTGTCACAATAAGAACTTTGCCTTCAACCAAAGAAAAGAGGAAAGAAAATGACAGGTCTATATCTATAGTTGTCAACAATTCATTACAATGCAGAGTGGTGACAAAAACCTGTCATCTAACCGTCACTAACAAACAATAGCCGATAAAGTCTCTTGTAAAAAAAAAAAAAAAAAATAAATAAATTGTATTCATTTGTGTCAACTCAATGAAGATTTTAAGACAAATATTCCATTTTGGCTTCAAACATTTGAAAACTTTAAATCCAGCTTTCATTTTGTTCTCATCTGCTTTCCACTTTTTTTTTTCTTTTTTAAACTCACTCTTTTTCTCTTTACAGCAATAGGCTGTATCATTTAGAAGATTATTTTTTTTTTTTTTTGGTTTTAGAGAAAAGAAGAAAAAAAAATCAAATCTACTTTGGATCATTTTTAGTCATTATTTATTGCCACATAAACTTCTCGGTGTACTAAAAGAAAATTTGAAAATTAGAAGAAAATGTTTCATTCTTTTTACTCATTCCACCTGGAAAATTGCATATTCTTGAAATTTCCTCTGGAATTAACACACAATTGATCAATGATGGCTTATTGTTTTTCTTTTTTTTCTCACCCAATTTTTTTTTTTTTTTTTTTAACCAAATTCCTCTTTCTTTTATTCATTTTTATTTATCAAATTGAGTTTTATATTGATTTTTACTCACCCCTCCCCAACTTTTTATTTTTACTGCCAGTTTCCTATTTTGATGTGTTAAGTTGTTAAAATCATTTGAAGATTTTCCATTGTTTGTTTTTTTTTTCTTTCTCATTTTCATCACCTCCCTCTCATTCATTTTTTAAATTTCTTTTTTGTTTTTATTCCAATAGATAAAAAGAAAGAGAAACAAATTCTAAGGAACATTAGATTTGCTCTCTGTCATGGGCGGTTCATGTGTCTGTTGTGGTAAAATTGGAAATCTTAACATAATTTAATTTGCAGAAAAAAAATACGTTGATTCACATTACTCTTTCTTTCTGATACAATCATCCACACTACTGCTTTTGAGATATTACTGTCAATTTCTTTCATCTTTGTTTAGACTTTTTCTTCCATTTTTGTTTTCTTTCTTGAATCTTGTCCTTCCTTGATGTTTGGTCATCTCTTAAAAACCTTCTTTCAATTGCCTTAACAATTTTTTTTTTCCCTTGAATTTGTTTCTGTATTTTGTCATGCACATCACTTTTATGTCAAATATATGGAGAAGTGGCAGAAAGTTCGGTCTGGGTTTTCTTCAACCATTCTGGATGAGGTTTTTCTAGGAAAACAACAAAAAAAAAAGTGCATTTTACATTTGGTTTATTATTTGAGCTTGGAAGTCCGAAATAACCAGTTTCTTTTATTTTCATTTATTTTCATTTATTTTCATTTATTTTCATTTATTTTATCTTATTGATTGATAAAAAAAAAAAGAGATGAAATTAAAAGAATAAAAAAAGAAATAACAAATCAGGTGAAGTAAAAATAAAATAAAAAATGAAAAAACAAAAGAGGAAGGAAAAGAAAAACAGAATAAAAGAGGGAAGGAAAAGAAAAACGAAATAAAAAAAAGGGAAGGAAAAGAAAAACGAAAAAAAAAAAAAAAGGAAGGAAAAGAAAAACGAAATAAAAAGGGAAGGAAAAGAAAAACGAAATAAAAAGGGAAGGAAAAGAAAAACGAAATAAAAAGGGAAGGAAAAGAAAAACGAAATAAAAAGGGAAGGAAAAGAAAAACGAAATAAAAAGGAAGGAAAAGAAAAACAGAATAAAAAGGGAAGGAAAAGAAAAACGAAAAAAAAAAAAAGGGAAGGAAAAGAAAAACGAAATAAAAAAAAAAGGGAAGGAAAAGAAAAACAAAATAAAAAAAAGGGAAGGAAAAGAAAAACGAAATAAAAATAAATGAAGTAAAAAAAAAAATAAAACATTAATCATAAATTTAAGAAATAATGAATAAAAAATTATAAAAAGTATGAAATGAAATAAAAAGGAATAAAAAAAAATAAGTAGAAAAAGAAAAAAGTAGAAGTTGCTATGTGAACTTAGAATTTATAAAATGTTTATTTTTAGTAAATCCAGTTTGATGCTGCATTTATTTATTTGCTTTTTTGCAATTATTCTCAAAAGCTCTTATCAACATTTTTTTAAAATTATTCCTACTCCTTCAAAATGCCTCAGCAACATTGTATTAAGATGAATAAAAATGTTTCTAAAATCTGAGCAGTTCCTTTTTGAAATATTTAAGAATTCTCATCATTTTCAACAATCATCCAATTCCTTTTTCATTATGAATTTTATTATCAGTTAAGGCTATATTGAACAAAAAAAAATTATGCTTTTAAAATCTTGACCCAAAATTCCTAAATTCTCCATTCCCTGTCCAAAACTCTTCAGCATTTTGCTTTCTCCTAAGAGCAACCAAGTTTAAACATAATGTATCTAATTCCTACAGCATTTGTCAATTCCTGCAGGCTTTCTTCTGGGTCGCCTTGTTTTTCAGACTCTTGGCTCTTTTTAATAAAACACTCTGCAGTTTCCACATAATCTTCGACATTTCTACCACCACACAATCCCTCCCCAACCATTCTTGCCAGTCAGCTATGCTATAATCTTCTGCCATCAATTCCCCTCTACCTGACATCCCAACATTAGGACATTTTTCATATAAAAATAATGGCAGGTCAGGTTAATGGTAGTGGATTTCTTTTTGCTGTCCACTATTTGCCCTTGATGGATATCCATTGCTTGGACAATATTCTTGCAGCCTCTGCCTCTACCCTGCAGGGGTCTGATGGATTTCAAAGCCCTGCCCTTATGTTGACCCCCATTTGCTCTTGAAACTTAAGGGTGGAGACAAGTTATCACTTTTTGTCACCCCTGACACTTTTCTAGTCCCATTACATCAGCTTGTACAAAGGTATTACTTTCTTCAAACTCTTTCTTGTCTCTCAACACTCTAACCCCATTCTTAATGCTCCTCTCAATTACTCCTTGATTCATTACTCCTCTTTCTACTCCTCATTTATTTTTCTCTGCTCCCACCACAACTCTTCATAGTACTACAGCAACCTTTCTTGTTGAGGCTTCACTTTTCTCTTTCTCCTCTTACTCCTCCTTTCTATATTGTTGTCTCTTTTTTTTTTTTTTTCTTTTAATCTGTTCAATTTCTTTACCTGAATATGCCTCTCTTCTTCAGTGATTTGCTTTGAGATTGGTTAAGTGTTTCTCTCTTGAGAAAGTGATACACATCACACTCTTTTTTTCCTTATAGTCACTACTGGTAATTTTTATTTGGAAATTTATGTACATTTTATAAACCATTTAGAAGAACTGAACATTTGCAAAGACCTTCAGACCAATGCCTTTTTCTCTTAGTTTTGATTTGAATCTAAGATTAGCTGAACCTTACGCAAGTATTTCATTAACTGATTTTTTTTTTTTTAGTTTAACTCTAATGAGGAAGTTGTAACATTTATTTATTTATATATATATATATATATATATATATATATATAAAAGACATTTTATGTTTAACATTCTTTTTATAGATACAAGTATTTAAGTAAATGCTCTGTTTATAATAAACAGTATTAAATAACATTTCCGGCCTGAATGTCGAGAAATTTCCATAGAAAATATTTTCCATGAAGGATTCGAACCTGCATCCTATACCGGAATAAATGTTATTTAACACTGTTTATTATAAACAGAGCATTTACTTAAATACTTGTATCTATAAAAAGAACGTTAAATATAAAAAAATGTCTTTAATAAATGAATTGTCGGTCTTTGTCCATTTCTTAATATATGACGTCATATATATATATATATATATATATATATATTTCATTAAAGATGACAGACAAGGTACTGCGATTAAGCTTTTTATTTAATTTTTCTTGTATTCAAACAAGTGTTTTCTTTTCTGGACACAGTGTGTAGAAACTGTCCAAATGTTCTGTAATTCTGAGCGCTTTTGGCTATACTTTTAGCCATTATCAAGGATGATCTTATTTTTGCTTTTTAACTGGATGTATGGGTTGTGTGTATGTGTCTGGAGTTATAGGAATGTTTTATTTGTTTTTGTCTGTGGAAATAAGTAATTAATAATACCGAACACACAGACAAAAACAATAACATAAATATATTCTACAAAAGCCAAATACACATCTACTATAAACAAGATTTTTTTCTAATAATATTTCTTAAATATTCAGGCCGGTAGACAAAATAAAATATTGTTTATAATAAATGGAACATCTACTCAAATATGGGTATCCATGAAAAATAAGGTTCAAGGTGATATATATCTTCATTCAAGCATGTATGGTTGAATAATTTAGACTTATTACACAATAACAATTTTATCAAGGGTACTTGCACTTCATATGTCAGATTCTAGATTGATTGCACAACATTTAAAGGAGCATTCTTGTCTGCATTCACGATTTAGAGAAATATTAATCGACAATACAAGTATACTCCACCATGAAAATAAGAAAAACAAAAACTTCATATTCTGGAAGCACTTTATATTAAAAAAAAAATTATAGCTAACACTAAATAAAATTAATTGCAAGTATAGCAACAAAGTTTTAAAATGTCTATAACGGTAAGGTTTTAAAAATCACAAAAAAATTACAAATTATAACAATGTTTTGAAACATGTAAATTGCAATTTTAAAAAAAAAAATATTTTACAATATAAATTATCACCCTTACATAGTGGTAAATTTTTGAATTAACATAGCACGTTCATGCACTTGCACAAAAATTCATAACTGTCAATTGCATTAATTCTTTGTCTTAGCAATTCACCTCTGAAGATGATCTTGGATGAGATGGAAAGGTACTTAGGAAAACAAAAAGAATAAAAACAGCTACAGCATCTTCAATCAATTTAATTGCACATTAAGAAAAAGATCAGTGAATATGATAAAATTTATATATATACACAAACACACATAAAGAAATTCACACTGCATGATGACTCTGTTTTATACTTCAATTGTTCTTTTATTTTTACGATTCCTTTTATATTTTTATATGTAGACAACTGAAGGATTAAGTCAAGACACATTTAGTTTGCTTATTTATATATTTATTTCATTCAAGTTCTAAATTTTGGTATTTAAAATAAAATTTATTAGCTTTATTTTATGGTATTTTAAAGGTCATGACCTTTTAGTTTACTTATTTATTTATTTGTATATTTTCTTCAAGTTCTAAATATTGGTACTTAAAATAAAATTTTATTAGCTTTAGGTAATGGGAGTTTATTTCTTCTTTTAGTCTGTCAATAGCACTTAATCCTTGACCACTGAGAATCCATTTTTCCTTATTTTCAAAGCATAAGAAAAAAAATGAGTAGCAGTGTAAATTTCAAAACTTAATCATTATTCAACCCCCCCCCCCATCACAACCAGAAAGGTTTAATGTACATCCAGTAGGTAACTGATATAAGATGAGGGCATGGTAAATTAATAGTAAAGTCAGTGGTCAGAAAATCAAGCTATAGTTGTATATATTGAGTATAAAACAGCACTAATCAACTGTGATTATTTTTCCATTCCCCTCACAACTCTTTCAGAATTTGATGTATTATATACAATAGATAAAAATTTCTATAAATCTTACCTGTGATATCAGGAATTGCACAATAAAACTGAAGGAATTTCTTATAATCGTTTGTTCATTCAGTGTCTTTGACATTACTGCGATTTCTATCAATCTGTCTTCCTTGGCAATTGTCCTTTAAACGAATATGCCATTAATATTCAATTTTATTTTTGGTATTATACACTGAACTATCCTATTTGATATGAAGAGTAATTAATTTGGCATATTAGATTATGATCATCTTTAGCTGATGTATATTCTCCATCCCCAAAGACTCACATTTGTAGATACACTGCTAGAGAACTGAGGAATAGATACAACAGAAGAGTAGATGATGCTGAATGGATGAAGTGTGTGAATGCTATGGGTATAGGCTGTCACAATAAAAGTCTGATTTTTTTTATGTCTATTATATAACATCAAAATAGCTAAAAAGGTGTATTTTAGTTACAAGTATTGAATGAAGATATGCCTAAGTTTAAAAAAAAAAAGATTAGGGTGATTTGTAACTAAATGATGTTTTGTAAGTTGGCATTTGTCCTCAAATGAAAAAAAAGACACGTTTTTCAAAGGGTTTAACTATGAAATGCTAATTATAGAGTCAATCAGTTATCTGCCATGTGTGATACATGCTTTCGATAGATGACTGATGAGGCAGATTTTTTCCTGCAGTAGACCAGTTTCAATCCAAGGCTATAGAACCTGGTCTGTCCTGCTATTTACCCATAGCTGGGGGTGGGGAGGCTTCATACTTAAGTGGATTAACACATTCATTTATTCATTCTTATTTATTTGCACATGCCTAAAAGTTACATTCCTTCTAGTCATATCAGATTACAATAAAATTCTCTTTAAGTGCTGTGAGGTGGCAATAGGTCACAGGTTTGTCTTATTATATTTCTGTATTAATAAATAAATGATAGTTTATATTTTCATCAGTTTAGGACTTGAGTATTTATTAATAATTTTATTATTAATAAAAGTAACAATGTTCAGCACATTTTTAAGTTAAAATTTCTTTTAAGAATTTCAAATCTTTGTCTTTTAAATTGCAAAGATAACAAAAGAAAAAAAAAATCATTACTAGAGTTGAAATAAATAGAAAGCTACTTGTATGTTTTTTTTTTCTTTTTAATGTGTTGTACCCTGTAAAGATTAAAATACTACCTTAGTAAGATTTATACCTTGTTTTTTTTTTATCTATTTATTTAACATCTAATAGAATTCAGATGTTTATGAAAATCAATGTAGTTATTCTTTTTATAAATTGCTAAAAAGAGAGCCACTTAGAAAATACCTGCATGTGTTG